CTCCTCCTCCTCCTCCTCCTCCTCCTCCTCCTCGAGGGGCAAGGACAGGGGGGGGGCTGGCATATAGGCCCAGACCCCCTCGAGTCCTGAAAAAGTCACGGCGGGAAGTGTTTCGATGTCTTCGGCCTCCGGGGGCCCTTGCCGGCCCTCGGGGCCGTCAAAAAACGACTCGGCGTCAAAAAACTACTCGGGGCTGGCCTATTGTCGGGTCGGGCGAAAGGGGGGGATAAGCAAAGGGGGGGAGTGAGAATCAGCTCACGTGTAGCTGATTCTCCGGGCGCCTCCCGGCGCCGGAAGCGGTGATGTATCGAGGACTGGGCCACTCGGTGAAGCCGAAACCAGCTGCATGCAGCAAATTTCGTACCCCCCCCTTTCCCAATCCCCCCCTTTCGCCCAGCCCGACATAGGGGGGGTGCATCGACCTGGAATCCGCGATCCATCGCCGGAGGATCGACGAGAGGCCCCGAATAGTGCATCCGCACCTTCCTGTGCAGGTTGGGGCTATCGGGCCCCTGACGGCGATCAATGGGCACTTCGGGGTCGATGCACCCCCCCTATGCCTATCCCCCCCAAATCGTTGCCCCTGAAGCAGGCGAACCTTGGACGAAAAATACAAAATAGGCAGAACGAAAATATACACAGACGCCAGAGTAGTCGAAACATCGTCCCCAGACTATCCTTGACATGTTTTTGAACGTTCCTCCTGCAGAGAGACACGCCCGACTTAAAGCTGCCGCTGGCCGGCGCTGGCCACGCCGAGGCGTCGGGGCAGCCGCGGCTCCTGGGGCCGTCGCTGGAGGCCGAGGCGGCGCTGGCGCGGCCCTCCACCTCAGGGGAGGCACAGGCAGAAACTTGTGTTGCCTTCGTAAGCAGCGAGGAGGAGGAGGAGGAAGAGGAGGAGGAGGAGGAGGAGGAGGAGGAGGAGAAGGAGGAGGAGGCGGCGCTGGCGCGGCCTTCCACCTCAGGGGAGAGCACAGGCAGAAACTTGTTGCATTAGTATAGGGGGAAAGCAAACCTTCCTCGCTTTTGACCACCCTCGTTTCCAAGAGATACCAAACGATGCCAAACTACGGCCTGTACTGGTCAGGCCGCTTGACGAGGAGACGCGTGGTATGACTTGGTTTTGCCTGGAAGCGAAAGCGGGGTAGGTAATTCACGCTCTGAGGTGCGGCCCTCCACCTCAAGAGGAGAGAACCCCGTGGATCTGGGCGCTGCGATTGTCTTTCAAGCCGGGCGCTTTCGTCAAGGCTTCGGGCCCGGGGGCCGTCTGCGCTCGATCATGGTCGCAAGATGGCGCAGAAAGATGGTGTCTGGAGCTCCGGGCGTGATTTGTTATGCTGTTGCAACTGCTTCGCTGCGCCGGATCTCAGGGAGAAAGGTAATCACCGATGCCGCGTATGCGGTAGGCTCCTGCGGCGGCGGCGGCGTGCGCATAGAGTTTTGGCACACCGTCGCTCGCTCAACTTCGAAGCGATCGTCGCCCCGATATTGAAGGGGCCCCAGGACACACAAATAAATACACACAAAAAAAATGTTCCCCATATTTTCCCATATTTTCTGGGTTTCTGTCTTCCCCCCCACTTCCTATAGTTTCCCATATTTTCTGGGGAATCGAGGATTAATTATGTCTGTGTTTTTTTTTCCCTCCTGAGATACTTCAAGGTCGCATTCCGTCGGGCCCTGTGGCGTCACCGTGCCCCTCGGTGCTGCCAGACGCGCCGGCCGAGGGCAGGCCCCGAGCAAGGGGACGGAGGGCGCTGCCGGAGCCCGGGCGGAGCCGCCCTGGGCAACGACGTGGAGGAAGAAGGCAGCTACTCCAGATTTCGTAATAAAAGGGAGGGGGTCTGGACCCTCCAAGACAGGCCATTTCAGACCTCCCCCGTGGGAGGACCCTCCAAGGCATCGCCCCCGGACCCCCCAGGCCCTCCAAGACAGCCTGGAAGAGACCCCCCCCCCCGAAACGAGACCCCCTCCCTTTCTTACGAAATCTGGAGTACAGTCTTCCAGTTCTCGCACGATCGGCAACGCGACGCACAGCTGGCAGCAATGCCCCGCGGTGCCTCCGCGCCGCAGAATTCAGGAGGAGGAGGAGGAGGAGGAGGACGCACAGATGGCAGCAATGCCCCGCGGTGCCTCCGCGTCGCAGAACTCAATCTTTTGAACGCCTTCGCTGGCTCGGCCAGCGCGCCCTCGCCACACGAGTTTGAAGGGGCCCCAGGCCACACAAATAAATACACACAAATAAAAGGATTCCCCATGTTTTCCCATATTTTCGGGGTTTCTGTCTTCCCCCCCGCTGCCCATATTTTCCTTTATTTTCTGGGGAATCGACGATTCATTGTGTCTGTGTGTTTCTTTCCCTCCTGAGAGTTGGACGCCCGATCTGGTCACGGACAAAAACGGGGGGTGCGATGCACCAAAAACAAGCGTGGCCCAAAAACGACGGCCGGCTCTGCTGGGCAAGCGGCCTCCTTTCCGGACTGGACACCGTCCGCGGCGGCGCGGACAGCGAGTCCTGCAAAATTGGAACCAGAAATGCTGTTGGGCACCGTACCCATTTGTTCCGTACCCGCTTCGTTCGTTCCGATCAGAAGAGGAAAGGTACCGATGCTGCTACCCTTGCCTCGCCTCCCTTTTGCCTCTGTGGGGCCTCCTGTCAGACCCTCGTCGGCACCGTTGGATTCGACTCGGAATGCTGGTCAGAACGCACCCTCGGAGAGGTCCGCGGAATAGCGGTATGGGTACATTTTGTAAGGAGACCAAAGGTCCGATACCGCTGCTCCCCGGACCTCTCCTGGGGCGCGTTGTCACCAGGACTTCGAGGCGCATCCGACGGCGTCGACGAGAGCCTCCCAGGAAATCCAAAACGGGAAAAACGGGCGAAGGGTAGCGTCATGGGTACCTTCTGGCCCCTCTGAAATCAGGAGCACGAGCCAAACTGTGCCACACTTGAACACACGGCGGTGCTTAGCACGAGGGGGCGGGGAATGTGGATGGGAATGGGATCAACGACGTAGTCATACAAACAAAATTCGGGCTTCCTGGACAAAACTTTGGGTCTCAAGCCTCGTTCGAATCTGTCCAGGAACTCCCGCCACTTCTTCGATACATGCTGGGGATCGCACGGCTCGGACAAGCCGCGCATAACGAGTTCCCCGAAGAACCCGCCATCCCCACAGATCCAAGCTCCTGCAATAAAACAGGGCTACGATCGGGATAAATCGCTCCAGAGCGTTCCGGAGCGCTCTCAGATCCAGAACGCTCTGGAGCGGCCGCGGCGCCCAATACATCCTCCAAACCCGCCGATTCAGAGATTTCGAGTTATCCCGATCCGATTTTGTCCCGACCTTCGCGTCGCTTTATGCATCCAGGGAGAAAAAGCATGTGGAACTCGTGCGCAAACCCTCCCCCGACATGGGCACGAGGGCGGGGGCTCAAATCGGGTCGGGCGAAAGGGGGGGATAGCAAAGGGGGGGTTTGAGAATCAGCTAAATCAGCTCCGTAGCTTATTTCCCGGCGCCTCCCGGCGCGCGAGGCGGCTATGCATCGAGGAACGGCCGTCGGTGGGGCCGAAACCAGCACGCCCATGCAGCAGCTTTCGTAACCCCCCCTTCCCCAATCCCCCCCTTTCGCCCGACCCGAGAGGGGAGGAGGAGGAGGAGGAGGGGAGGAGGAGGAGGAGGAGGAGGAGGAGGAGGAGGAGGAGGAGGAGGCGGAGGAGGAGGAGGAGGAGGATTAGGAGGAGGAGGAAGGGGGAGGGGAGGGGGACCGCGAGCCCCTCCGACTTTCGCTCGCACCCCGCCATGCTGCCGCTGCGCGAGGACGGCGGGGTCATCTCCAGGTGTTGGCCGGCTTCGGCGAGCCGCAGCAGCTCCAGGACGCGGCTCTCGGGGCTGTGGCGGTAGAAGTCCCAGCCGCCCGACTGGACGCAGTCGCTGGCAGTCCTCGGCGGCGAGCGAGGGGGGCGAAGTGAGAAGGAGGAGGTCTCCTCAGAAGGCGGCGGGGCTTCTCAGAAGCCCTCGCGCCTGCTTAGAGATTGCCTTCTGGGAAGGCGTAGAGCACTTCTCAGAAGGCCAGGGGATTCCCGGGCCTCCTGAGAAGGCCCGCCACGTCTCACTTCCCCTCCTTGCTCGCCGCCCAGAGGAGGAGGTGGAGGAGGAGGAGGAGACTAGGAGGAAGTGGAGGAGAGGGATGAGGAGGAGGAGGAGGAGGAGGAGGAGGCGGAGGAGGAGGAGGAAAAGGAGAAGGAACGCGTTTCTTTATCATCGGCGATGACGGACGTCATGGGGGGGGGACGAGGCGGGGGGGGTATGACGTAACGCCCCCTCCCCCCGTGCGGCTCCGGCACCAAAGCCGCGTCCGGGCGCACGACGACGATGAGCGACGAGCGACGAGCGACGACGACGACGAGACGACGACGACGCGACCAGCATGCAGGTGGCGATCTGCCCCACAGCGCCTGTGTACACCACAGTGCTCGCGTGCACAACAGCGCTTGTGTACAGCACAGCGCTTACGTACACCGCAAACGCCGTGTGCAACGCAGCGCCTGTGTACACCACAATGCTTTCGTGCACCACAGCGCTGGTGTACACCGCAGCGAATGTGTACACCGCACCAGCCATGTGCAACACAGCGACTGTCTAAATTACAGTGCTGACGTGCACCGCAACGCCTGTGCACACCACAGCGCTTGTCTACACCACAGCATCCGCGTGCAACGCATCGCTGGTGTACACCAGAGCGCCTGCGTGCACAAGACAGGTAGAAGGAGCATGTCGGTGAGGATCTGGTGACAACAGCGAAACGCCACGCCAGGGAAATGCGGATAATAGAATGCGACGTGTTTTCCCTCATCCCTCCTCCACCTCCGCCTTCTCTTCCTCCTCCTCCTCCTCCTCCTCCTCCTCCTCGTCCTCGTCCTCGTCCTCGTCCTCGTCCTCGTCGTCCTCCTCCTCCTCCCTCACCCTTCCCCCCTGTCGTGCGGGTCGGCACTGCAGCGCGCGTGCGCATTTCAGCGTGCGCCGCAGAATGGTCGATTCACTGATGCCGTGCTGAGTACACGCAGGCATTGTGGACACGGCTGATGTGGTGTACGCAGGCGTTGTACACGAACGCTGTGGTGCCAACCAGCATTGTGGCACACACTGGCGTTGTGATGCATGCGGTTGCTGTGGTGTACGTAGGCGGTGTGGTGTACACAAGCGCTGTGGTGCACGCGGGCACGGTGGTGTACACGAGCGTTGTGGTGCAGATCGTCACCGACGCGCTGCTGCTACCCGTCCTCGGTGATTCGTATGCATTCCCAGACGCCGTCGGCGCGAAACGTGACGTCATCGGCCCCCTCCACCCACCCCAGATGATTGCCGTCATCGGCCCAAAATGAGAAAAAAAAAAAAAAAAAAAAAAATGTTCCAGCTGCGTCCGCGCGCACGACGACGATGAGCGACGAGCGACGAGCGACAACGACAACATCGACGCCGACGACGACGACAATGACGACGACGACTGCGGACCAGACTCCCGTGCGGATTCTATGCGGACACCAGTGCGGATCACGATGCGCACGGCGGCATAACCCGACGGGGGGGGGGGGGGAACGTTACGTCATAGGATCGGGGGGGGGGGGGCCCAGGGGCCAGACGCCCGTCATGCCCCAAGCAATAAAGAAACGGGCTCGAGGAGGAGGAGGAGGAGCAGGAGAGGAGGAAGAGGAGGTCGAGGAGGCAAGGCACGGCAAGACCTGGGCAGCTGCCGACCCCACTATCGGGCCCACCTCTGTGAGTCGGAGATCTAGCCACACCAATTGCTGCTGGTGTGATCAATGCACTGCTGGGGCAAACTTGCGGTGCTTTATGACCCAACATGGACCTGCCGCCCGCCCGCCCGCCCGCCCGCCCGCGCGCGCAAAGCCCGCAATAGCACCAAGGCGCACCCCACTTCATTCAACGCGCACAGAGCGGAAGCGTAGAGCACTTGGGCCCATTGCCTCCACCTGGGGGCCGACGGGCGCGGGGGAGGCGATCAGGGAACTCGGGGCCTCCGGAACTCAGGAAGCTCGGAGGCCTCAGGGAACTCGGGAACTGTTGCGGTCTCTTCGGGCCGCAAAATGAATCGGTGCGCTCGCCTTCGTGCTCCGTACATTGCCTCATCCTCCCTCCCGAACTCCCCATACGCCCCAGTCCCCGCGCCCTCCCGTCATTGCCAGTAACTGGAAGCGGATAGGCTTTGGAAAGCAGTATGGATTCGCGCGGCCCTGCGCGTCACTGCAATGGCCGAGACGTTCCAACCGATGGAATATTGGCAGAGTCGCTCCCGCCCATTCAGGGATATCAGAGACTTACCACCCCATTTTGACATATCAGAGACTGCACCCCGCCCTGCAATTGGACAGCCACCTCACTCCGTTCTGACATATCGGATGTTCACCCTTCCGACCTATCAGAAACACTCAATCCAATTCAGAAATAGCACAGACACTCCCACCCATTGGATGGCAGAGTCGCTCCCATCCGCTAAGAGATACCAAAGACTTACCACACCACTCTGAAATGTCAAAGACTGCATCCCGTACCACTATACCAGATACCTTTCCCACCATTCTGAAGTATCAGAAAGTCTCCCATCCATGACGAAAATGCAAAAACTTTATTCCAGTCGGCAATTTGTGAGTCACTCTGAGAGTCCTGCCTCTTGAGCTCGCTGGTCACGTCTTTGGCGCGTTCACTGCCGGCTGCAGCCGCTCGCATCAATCCATTGACATCGAGTGCTCCTGCACAGACGCTTGTACTGCTCTATCTAGCGCGCCAGGTGGTGAGCTGCCTATATTGACGACTCCGCCTGTGGCCACGACCGCTTCGATGATGTGTAGGCGTAGCTCGACTAGCGTGACCTGCGGAATCTCACTGCCATCCCCTGTCTTCTCCTTGTAACGCTGCATGCGTGCTGGCCGCATGTACGGGCTGATGGCGATGGGGTTGAGCATGATGTGCAGCTTCGCCTGCTCCGCTTTCTGCGCGTTCTCGTTGAACGTCTTCTTGGCTACTGCTCGGAAGTGACGCACCAGGTCGTCCCTACCCCCCCTCCCCTGCCCATGACGGCCGCGAGTTTCAAAGCCACCCTAAGGATCTGCTGCGCATCGTCTGACAAACCCTGCATCCTCGCGAACGTGGGAAGAATACACCCGGACATGTGCAAGTGTGGGGGGTCCGAGATCTGTCTTCCACTCCTCGGTGCACCGACGATGGTACCCCTGACCCATGTGCAGTCCTTCCGCTGCTGCTGGGCGCGCCAACGCCAGGACAAGGCAATCCCACCATGCTCCAAAGGGGAATCCGACGCGTCTGAATGTTGTTTACCGTAAATTTCTGCAGCGTGAAGACCCGCTCTTGCATCGTCACATCCGCTTCGTTTTCTGAGCCAGCTCCCTCCCCCTTTGCCGCGCTGGCGCGTGAGCTTGCGACCTCTTCTGGCGGCTCTTTTGGCGGCCACTGTGGACCCTGCGGCTGCTTGAGGCGGGATGCCGATCATCCACGTCGCCATCGGCAGGCCCTGCTGCGTGCTGCTTGACGGGGCCAAGGTGTAAGGCCAACTCTGATGTGGTAAAATCGCACAATACACACGTGTATGTAGTTGCCTCCGTCGGCCTAAACTCGAGCGAACTGGCTCTGGAAGGGCATCGCATAGGACTCGGTCGTCACAGAGTCCAAACATGAAGCGCACAGCTAGCCCTCGGCGCAGATACCCTCCGACACCATGTGCACACGTTCGCCGTCGTGGCCATTGAGTATAGTCGAGGCGTTGACCTAAGGAACCCTAAATAAGGAACGAGGCCCCTTGTTTCCATACGTTAAACTTCGATTTCCTATCGAAAACATAAAGACAACCTGAGGCAAGCTGTGAAACACGTAAGGAACGCGGAGCCCCTCCCCAACGAACAGGGTTCCTTCTTCAGGGCCCCGACTGTACAACTCACGCATCTTATGAGTCTTGTCCATGTGGGCCGTCAAGGCTCGCATCGTCGAGAAGCCACTCCCTCAGACGTCCCCTTGTGGTGTTTCGTGCGTGCAGACGTACTCGTGCGTGTCCTCCTCTCCTTCCAAATACTCGATCCCCCTGTAGGCCTCCCCTTTTCCCCTCCTCCCCGTAGCGCCTGTCAAACAAGTGCCTGATGTGCTGGGGAGCTGCTTCTTGTAAAACACCCTTCTGGAACTTTCTTTCTTGAAGAAGTCCAGCAACCCCTCCCTCGAATTCCACGCCTGTGCAAACCTCGACGATGGTTCTATCTTCGCGAAAATCTCCAAGTCCTCCTGGACCTGGCGGGCCCACGGCGAGCTGTGCTCGTTTTCAGTTCCCCGTCGGGTCCCAGTCGATGTCGATCTACCCTGAGGTCCATGTGGGTGCTTCCAAACGTCCCTGCCAAGACCTGCGAATGCTGCTGAGGGTCCCGAGACATGTTTCGGTAACATCTGACTACCTGGATCCTCACCTCCACTGCAGCTCTCGATATGTTTGCGGCATCAAGACCTGCACGTGCTTTTCGCTTCGGACTCTTCCGTCGACCTCCTCTGTCGTGCCGCGGCTCAGCACTATCAAGAAGCGGATGAACAACACACAGTCAAGTCTGTCTGTAAAGCTGCGCGGCAACACAAAGCCCGTCTAACCTGATAGACCTGTGCCTGTAGGCAATGAAAACTAACCTCCTCATTCTCGGCGGGATCGGCTCTGACCACAGCTTGCCCAGAGCCCTCCAGCCGGCCTTGTTTGCTCCAATTCACCCTCGCAACTGTGCTCAGAGGTTGCCGTCAAACGTCAGCATGGGCCCTAAGACACGTGCTTCGGAAGAGGAGGAGGAGGAGGAGACTAGGAAGAGAAGGACGAGGAGGAGGAGGAGGAGGAGGAGGGGGAGGAGTTGGAGGAGGAGGAGGACGAGGAAAAAGGCCAGCACCTTCTCATTCCCCCCCCCCTCGCTCGCCGCTGGCAGTCCTGCCCCGGAGGTTGGTGGCCCGCACGTCCGCGCCCTGCCTGGGCGGCGACAGCCGGACCCCCTAAAGTGGGGGCTCGACCACAAAAGTGAAGGGGCCCTGGGACACACAAATAAATACACACAAATAAAAAGATTCCCCATATTTTCGTATATTTTATGGGTTTTTGTCTTCCCCACCACTTCCCATATTTTCCCATTTTTTCTGGGGGATCGAGGATTAATTGTGTCTGTGTGTTTCTTTTCCTCTTGAAAAAGACCCTGCACGAGAGACCCAGCCCCGAGACCCCAGGACGCCCACCGATGTCCTGCTGTGGGAGCGTCACGCTCTCCGGAGCAGGAGCCTCGGAACCCGGGAAACCCGGGGCACCCTGGAGGCAAGCAGGGCGGGTCTTGGCATGGGTGTCCGCTGCACCCCCCGGGAAGAAGGACAGGCGACACCAACACCACCAGGGCGGGGAGGTGCGAGGAGGCAAGCGGGGGGTCTCCCTGGTGTGGCCCCTCCCTCCCGCTCGAGACGTCCCCGGGCCCCCGCTCGGAGAGGCCTCGTGAGCCTCCTCGCTGGAGGTGGCCCCCCGGTGGTGTCGGTGTCGCTTCTCCCTCCAACCCCTGTCAACCGCCGATTCTCCTGAGCCAATGGGAGGCAAGTTTTGATTTTCGCAACGTGTTCGACGAATGCCGAACCCTCACCTCCGGAGGTCATAAGTCCTGCTGGCTCCCCCCACACAAGCTCCTGGCTGGCAATAGCCTATGCGCGTCCCCCAGTTCGCACTGTCCTCCTCCTCCTCCTCCTTCATCCCCTTCTCGTCTTCCTCGACGGCGGCGACGGCGGAATAGTTATTTACCAAACATTGTTGGGCGTCGGCAAACCCCGCTTAGATGATTTGGGGCCCCTGAATACCAATTGAGGTTACCCCCGCCGCCCATCGAATTGCCCGAATCGTTGATCGGCGAGGATAGGATTCGGATTTCGCCGCCGACTGCCGAAGAAGCTCGTGCACCGCGTCCACGTTCTGGCACCTGGCCGCCACGTGCAGGGCCGTGTCGCCCTCCGCGTTCGCCGCGTTGAGGAACCCGGGGCTGTGGCCGCTGGTGCGGCAAAGGTACCGGATCAAGGCGGGCTGCCTTCCGATGGCAACGCATGGCATCCTCCCGTGTCACCTTGCTGGCTCTTGCGAATCGGCGCTGACCGACGCTAATCGGTGCTAACCGACGTGGAATCGGCCCTGTCTCGTCGATGATCCGACGCCAGCGCACTCCAGAGACGAGCGTGCGAGGACATACTTACAAGGCTCCCAGGATTGGCTACCAGGCTGCCTGCTCCTGGCGGCCAGGTGGAGCACCGAGTTCTGCGCCCGGTTCCTGGTGCACATGCCCATGTCGGCGCGCTCCCTTATCAGCAGGCGGGCGCACTCCATGTGCCCCGTCAGCGCGGCCAGGTGCAGCGGCGTCCGGCCGTCGGGGCCGTGGCGGTTGATGTCCAGGACAAGCTCAGAGCTGCAGAGGAGCTGCTTCACGTCCTCCACCTCGCCAGCGGCCACAGAGCTGTGGAGATCGGCGCCCCGCTTGGCCCTGCAGGTGTAGACGGCCAGCAGCACATAGTACAGAACGCCCGCAGCCATCCAGCCAGACATCCACGGCCGGTGCCACTTGAACCAGAACGACAGCAGATTGGAGGCGTGATGCGTGCCACAGTCCCTGTGGTGGGCGCAGCTCTGCACGATGTCGAAGGCGCCAGAGCAAACCAAGACCCCGCCCAGTTCGACGGCGCGGGCGAGCAGGACCACACAGGAGATGCGGCTGGCCTGGAGGCCCAATCCGCCTCACTCCTCGCCCCCTCCCTCATTCTTCATCTCCCCGTCGCTCGGACGTCCACTCCCTGTGCTCTTTTCGGTTTCGTGCGTGGTTGTTTTCGCAGGGTGATCCAGGATGCTTCTTAATAATCCCCGCCGAGAACAAGTGGTACACACGTCCGAGCGAGACCAAGTCATCGATCCTCGTCCCCTCCCCCTCACCTTCCTCCTCCTCTTCCTCCTCCTTCTGCCTGCCTGCCCCCCCCCCACCACACCCCGCCCAGCTCCCGCCTGGCCTCGTGCCTGCCTCCTCCCCAAAACCCTGCTCCCTGCGCCCTCCTCCCTCTGTGCTCCAACTCCCTCCTCCCCCCCCGCCATCTGTCCTACGGTTGTGGATGCCATGGCAATGGACAGTCTAACACGCCTATCATTGAAATGAAAAGATGTGTTTCAAATGTGTAAAACATGCTCTAAACATGTTTCAAACATGTTTCTACGTATTTCAAACATGTGTGAACATTTTTTTAGACATCTGGAAATTATTTGGCAGCATGCTTCCTCTCCATTAATCGACTGCCATCTCTCCTGCGGACGCTCCTCCTCTCTCCCACACCCCGATCCTCCCCCTTCCACTGCCTGGAGGCCCAGCCCAGGCACGTTCACAAACTGCATGACGTTCACCTGGGCGCCCCCCTCCTCGTCGCGGATGGACCGCCTCCGCCTCTGCCCCCGCCCTCCTTCCTCTCGCCCTTCCCCCTCCCCCCTTCCTCCCAACCATCGTCCGCCTCCGCATCGTTTCCCTCCCCCTCCCCCCTTCCCCCTCCCCCCCTCCTCCCACCATCGTCCGCCTCGTCCCTCCTCCTTCCTCTCGCCCTTCTTGTTTCCCCTCGTCCTTCCCATCGTCCGCCTCCTCCCCGTTTGCCTCCTCCTCTTCCTCCTCATCCGCCCCCGCCTCCGACGCTGCCTCCGTCTCCGCCCCCTCCTCTCCCCATCACCCTCTCCCGCCCGGTCTCGGGGGACTCACGCTCGCCATCGCTCGGACGCCCACTCCCCGTGCAATTCTTTGGCTTCGTCGTGCGTGCTTCTGTTTGCTCGATGATCCAGGATGCTCCTCCAAGAGGGCTCGCCGAGAAAAAACTGCGCACGTCCGAGCGATGCCAGGAGCGGGGGCCTGCGTGTTCACAATTGCTGCTCGAAAGCATGCCGCGTCGGCAGGGAAGACGGCCGCCCGGCGCGCGCCGGCGAAGGGGGCGGTCACGAAGGAGCCCCTCGGCCGATCTGGGGGTCGCGGTCCTCCAGGGGAGGCCTCGCCCTCGCTTCCTCCGCCGCACCTTGGAGCACCCCGCTCAGGCAGCCGACGGTGAGCCGCGCGGCCACGGGGAGATGCTGCAGAGGGTCGGCCTGCGAAACTTGCAGAATCTCCGCCGACGAATGTCAAGGGGCCCGAAGACACACAAAGAGATACACACACAAATAAGAGGATGCCCCGCATTTTCCAATATTTTCTGGGTGTGTGTCTTCCCCGCCACTTCCCATATCTTCCCGTATTTCTTGGGGGTCGACGATTAATTGTGTCTGTGTGGTGTTTCCCCTCCTGAAAGTGGGGCGCGACGATCTCCGCCGTGAAAGGCGCTGCGCCGATCCCGCGGCCTGGCGCAAAAGAAGGCTCCCAAAACGAGTTGGTGAGCCATGACGCGGGAGAACTCGTGAACGAGAGAGGCTTCTCCACGAATGCCTGGCCATCGCTCGGACGTCCATTTCCTGTGTTTTTTTTCAGGTTTCGTGCGTGGTTTTTTTCGCGAAATGATCAAGGATGCTCCTCGATGGTCCGCGCCGAAGGAAAAGTGCACACGTCCGAACGATGCCAGGCGAGTTGGTGAACCATGACGCGGGAGAACTCGTGAACGAGAGGGGCTTCTCCACGAATGCCATTGAAGCGAAGTGGAGTGCCTTCAACTCGAGGGTGGAGAGCAAGTATGGCGGCCGATTGCCCAGCCATTCGAACAGGGACAAGCGGCGGTGCATCGTCCACGAATTCCGAGCTAGGTGTTTGCTGCTTAGTGCCGACCATTCGCTGCACGAGGATCATCATTGTTACGAGATTATGTTGGAAGGTCTCGCAATATTTGCTGTTGCGTGGGGGGCGCTGTGGGCGGAGGCGTAGATGAATGCCAGCGTATCTAGTGACAGTATACGCGCATGTGATCGATATATATATATATATATATATATATATATATACACACAGATGTTTGCAGTGGGAGCTGCGCGCGTTATATTATAACATGGTAGTGCTGGTCGCAGATAAAGAGCTGAAGCTGGAGTAGAATAGTGTCCAAGCGAGCTCGGAGAGCGTCCGCGCTTGTGTTGCGGAAAGCAAAAAGAAACGCGCGTGTCTTCATATCTCTGACGTGCTCCATCTCCCTCTCTCGTTCTCATCTTCGCGAGTTCAGAGGACCTTGAAAACGCAACCCCCCCTTAGTCCCTCGAGGCCTTCCCAACCACCTTCCCCTTCCTGCATCCCCATCCCGGCCCATCACCCTTTACCTTCGCACCTCCCTTTCCCCTCTCCCACCTTCCACCCCTCCCCCACCCAACCCCCGCCTTCTTCACGACCCCTCACGCGTCTCGCTTCCCCCCCGCTTCGCCTCCCCGCCTCGCTCCGATACCTCCCTCCCGTACCCATTGCTGGTCCCTGTCCTCTTCTCACTACTTACCCTCTCGGCCCCGTTGGCTCTCGATCTCTCGTTCAATTTCCCCCTACCATGACGGGATGGCCGACAACGGAGGTTAGATACAAATCAGCTGAATGATTGCGTGTAGCGGGGGTATCGCCCCACGAGGCGCTAGGAGCGGTGAGCGCCAGGGGGCGAAGCCAGGTAGTAGAGACGAGGCAAGCTGCGTGTAACAATTCGCAGGGCCCCTTTTTTTCTGAAACACTTCCTGATACTCCGTTTCTTCCCCCCTCAAGTTCCGTACCCTCCTTTTCTCTTTGCACTCCTCGACCCTTGGACACCACCCTGCATGTCCTCCTCCCTTCCGTCCTTCCTCCTCTCTGCTCATTCCCTGCTTCCTGCATGCAGAAACCAAAAAGGATATCAAACGGTACCGAGACCGCTACTCCCTGGACCTTTTTCGGGATTCGTTCCGACAGGGATTTGGAGGCGAATCCAGCGGCGGTGACAAGGGCTGTCCTGGAGGCCCCCAAAAAGGAAACCGAGGGAAAAGTAGGGCTATGGGTACCTCTTCCTCCTCTGAGGCAATGGGGAAGGTGACCACGGATGGACGGAAGTGCACCGTCAACAAGGAGCAAGAGGAAGGGGGGCAAAGCAGATGATGATGCGGAGGAGGATATGCGGAAGATGATGCCCGCGGGGTAGAGCGACCGTGTCGAACCACGATCACCCCCGCGCGCGCCCCCGCGCGCGCCCTCGCCTCGGCGCGGTCACGCGCCCGAGGCCGCCAGTCGGGCCTCACCTCTCGCAGCCCGCAGCAGCCGCGCCACCATGGCGGCCAAGCCTGGCGAGCAGCTTCGCTCTCGCGCTCGGCGCCGCGGCCTCGGCCAGCCGCCACCGCCGCCCGCGGCCCCTGCTTCGCTTCCTGCAGCAGGGCCCCCTCTGCAGTCGGCTGGCTCTCCTCCTGCAGCCTGGCCACCTTGGCCACGCGGCGCGGCGGCGGCGAGGGACTGCACGCGCGCCTGCAGCGCCGCTGGGGCGAGCCCCCTCCCCCTCCGCCAGCAGGCGGCTCCTGCAGCGTGGTCACCCGCAGCACGTCCACGCCGACCTCCTCAGGGCCGCCCGCCAGCGGCTGGCTCTCACGCCCTGGAGCCCCAGCGGCGGCCAGCCTCGGCGAACTGCCTCGCTCGCGCGCGCGGCGCCGTGGGCGGGGCCCGCCGCCGCCGCCGCCCGCGGGCCCCGCCGCTCCTCCTGCCTCCGATCCACCAGCAGGCCGCTGGTCCTCCTCCTGCGGGCTGGCCACCTTGGCCTCGCGGCCCCGCGGCCGCGAGCGACTGCGCGCGCGCTCGCGTCGCCGCGCGGGCGAGGCGCCTCCGCCTCCACAGGCAGGCGGCTCTGCAGGCGTGGTCTCCTGCTCGTCCGCACCTCCAGCCACGGTGCTGACCGCCGTCGGCTGGTCTGCGCGCCCGCCAGGCGCCTCCGCGCCCAGCACCTCCCCTCTCAGGTCGTCGAGGCGCGCGATGACGACTGGCGCCGCCGACGCCGTGCGGGGCGCGAGCCCCCGCTGCCGCTTGGCCACCGCCGCGCTGCCCGCCGCGGAAGGCGGCAACTTGCACTCACCGGTGAAGCCGCATGCCCTGGCGGCGCCCGCGAGCCCGCAGAGGCGGCAGGCGACAAGCGGCATCCTGCGCTCCAGCTGCTCGTCCACGGCGGGGCGGATGACCACCAGGTCGTGGGCGGCGAGCCCCCGCTGCCTCAGCCTCCTGTTGGCCTTCGACGCGTCCGCCACGATGGGGCCTGGGCGTTCGCCCACTCTCTCCTCCCACCTGCAGACCTCGCACCACCTGGGCTGCCCAGGCTGCCCGCGCCAGGTGCAGGCCACCTGCGCGGCTGCCGCGCGCCTCTCGAGAAGAGCCCGCTGCTGCTTCACCTTGCCGTGCGTGGTGTCGCTGCCGTCTACCCAGGTGCCCACCGCCGAGCACCGCAAGGCGACCCTGTCGACGAGTCCTCGGCGATGAGCAAGCTGCAGGCGGCAGCCTCCTTGGCCGCGCGGTCGGCCAGACGATTGCCGTGCCAGTCACGGCGCGACACCTTCCCAGCCACCACCTGCTGCCTCGTGCTGTGGCTGGGCACCCACCTCAGGTGCACCTCGCTTCCCAGGCCTCCGCGCTCATCCAGCAGAGCCCAAGCTTGCCTCCACAGGTGCGCACAGGAACGACCGCTGGCCGCCGTGCGCATACGACCCGCCTGGCAGAAGCCGTCGGACACGCACTTCGAGCCCACAACCAGCACAGTGCCACCGTTGCCGTACCTCAGCGCCATGATCACCGCCGTGAGCTCGCTGCCGTTGGTGTCGACGCACGGGCCGACCATCTGGCCAGCGATCGACGCCCTGTACACGCCCCCGCCCTCCAGCAGCGCAACTGCACTCCAGCCCGCCGACGTGAACTCGCCGTAGTCCGCCTCGAACACCGAGCCGTCCAGGAAGAGCTCACCAGCTGGCAGAAGCCCCCCCTCATGATCACCCTTCCAGCAGACCAGGTCACTGGCCTGAGGCTTGCGCAGCCCCCTCGGCACTGGCCACAGGCGCATCTCCAGCAGCAGCTGGACCCCAGGCTCCTGCCATCTCCTCCAGAAGTCCGCCAGGTCAGGGGGAAGGGCCAGCACCTCTTACCAGCTTGCAGAGTCGCAGTGCCTGTGCATCAGGGTGCCCTCCAACCCGCACCTGGGGCACTCAACGCTACTCGCCAGCCCTTTCTCCGCCTTTCGTGCCTGCGCCCGCTGCCCGTTGACGATGAGGGACCGCAGGTACGCCACCTCGCCCTGCGTGAGCCGCACCTTGACCTTGCCAGCGCCTCCTCCCAGCGCGCCCCCAGGGTGGTGCACTCTACCTGTGGTGGTCAGCCTCACCAGCGGCTCGAGCTCGAGCTCGCTCGCCCTGGGCCCTTGCTGACCTGCCCCCACTGCCACCGCTGTACTCCTCGCATGACCAGCTTGCTCACGACC